AGCAGATGGCAGCTATGGCTAGGAGATCCTTTGTACAACTTATTTCTGCATTAGTAGGCCATGATCATAGCTCCTGATGTTCAAGTCACCTCCATATTGGACTACTGCAATGCTTTCCACATGGGGCTGCCCTTGAATGTGGAAGCTTCACCTGGTACAGAATGCAACAGCACTTGCACTGCTAAAACAGCCCATGCTATACTTCTGCTCTGTGAGCTGCATTGATTACCAATTCAATTCAAGGTGCTGGTTTTGATCTATAAAGCCCTTCATGAGACGGGGCCAGGCTATTTTATGGACTCCGTCTCCCTGATTACATCAGGTCACCTAATTAGATCTGCCAGAGAATACATCCTGTAGGGACTGTTACATAAGGACATGCATTCAGTGGTTTCCATGGAATTGATCTTCTCTGTTTGTGTTTCCCTGCTTATGGAACATTCTTTGTCCTTAAAATTAGATGAGCCATCCTGTTTTATTCCTGAAGGCCCTCAAGAACTGATACTTGTAGCTCTGTTTTTATATTTATCATTCATATTCTTTTATATATATTTGTATTTCTGTTGTTTTTATTTGTGGTTTTCATTTTTTGTTCTGTATTACTGAGAGCTGCCCTCCATATGGGGTGGCTGGGTTTATAAATTTGATAAACAAACAAATAAATAAAATAAGGGATAAGATGGCAAAGAAAATGATCCTAAAATTGCATAAATATTGCAAGCTGAAGTAACATCACTAATAACGAACCATTATTTTGTTGAAATACCTGGGCAGAAAATGTTTCCACAAGTACAGAAGTAATTTCGTTGGCTCAACTTATCATCTTGTATAGCAGAGGATAACATTCAAGAACTGCAGTAGTACAGTGGTTAGAGTCCAGTACTGCCAGCTACTTCTGTTGATCACTGGCTGCTGAGATGGGTAAAATGAGGACCCAGAGTGTTGGGGGCAATAGGCTGACTCTGTAAATTGCTTAGAGAGGGCTGGGAAGCACTGTGAAGCAGTATATAAGTCTAAGTGCTAATGCTATTATTCTTGTAGTTCCACCTTTGCCCAGGTTCGCCTGGTGCACCAATTGCGGTCCTATCTGTATTGGGAGGCCCTTCGGATACTCACTCACACCCTCGTGACCTCAAGACTGGACTACTGTAACACGCTCTACATGGGGCTGCCCTTGAAGAGTATTCGGAGCCTTAAGATTGTCCAGAATGCAGCCGCACAAGCGATTGTGGATGCACCTCAGTACACCCATGTCACACCTATCCTCCGCGAGCTGCACTGGCTGCCCATTGGTCTTCGGACGCACTTCAAGGTGCTAATTGTTACTTTTAAAGCCCTACATGGTATCGGACCTGGGTACTTGAGAGACAGCCTCCTGCCAATTACCTCCCACAGACCGATTAAATCCCACAGACTAGGTTTCCTCCGAATCCCATCTGCCGGCCAATGTCAGCTGGCAACTCCCCGGGGGAGGGCCTTCTCTGTGGCTGCTCCGGCCCTCTGGAACGATCTCCCCGTNTATATATGTATGTATATGCATATGCATATATGTATATATATTATATATATATATATATATATATATATACACACACACACACACACACACACACACACACACACGTATATACATATATATCTATATATGTTATGCATTTGTGCTGATAAATAAATAAAGGGAGACTGGTATAGATCTATTTCAAGCTATTTAGCTCTCATCAGCTAACTATACCCTTACTAGGATTCGAACCTGGGCTGTATTACAGAGAAAGGAAGCAGTATGCTTCCTCCCATATTTGGGCATACCAGGGGTTGTGACACAATAAATACATACATATATATGTTATATATATACATATCATGACTATCAGGATTTTATGCTTAGAGCATATAGTACACAGATATTGTCTTGCATCTGAAGACGATATGACTACTGGTAATTCATTTCACTAAACCAAAATCTATTAAATTGAGGATTTAATTTATTCACAAATCCTTGAGGAATCCCAATCAAAAGGCAATTTAAATAATCTAAAAAATCTTTGAAATTAAAATCTGTATATTAATTTTCTTTTCTGGCATCTATTACAATTCTTGGCTCTTAATATAAGTTCCAGGTTTGGAATATTTCTGAATGTTACCTTGAGTATTTCTGCAGTGATGATGAATTCTGTCTGTTTTCCTTCAGATGACTTAGAATTGGGCCTGGATGACAGTCCTAGGAGGCTCTTAAACTTCTCCTTTAGCCCAGGATCTTTACTTGGTGGTTTTGCCATTGTTAACTAAGACAGCATCCAGGAAACTGTATGGAGAGAAGATTGCTTCATCAAGGGAAAATAGTTGAGATTTCCTCAATGTAACCCTCCTGAGATAGAAGCTTAAGAGAGACAAAGAAAAGTAGGCAATCCACTCTATGCATGCTCAAACATGGCATACAGGTAGCTGCTTTATGGAATACAACATATATCCAACTTAGTCAGGAATTCTTTCCCTTTATTTTAAAAAAGCTACCACTGAAACAACCACCAAATTCTGTGCATAAAATGTTATCAATTTATATGAGGAGAACCAGTGTGGTGCTCTAGTTAAAATGTATGGAAGAGCCTCAACTCCCTTTTAGTCCTGAGGCCATTGGCTGAGCCAAAGAGCCAAACTCTGAACCAAACTGGCCTTGCAGAATTATGATACCAGAAAGTTTATAGTGGGGAACTGAATACCTCTCGGTGGTCCCTCAGTTCCTTGGACTATAGTTTTTAAACAAGAAAAAAAAAAAAAAGCCTTCCTCTTGAAATGGAACAAGGCAGTTTCATAAACGAGAACCTGAAAATAATTAAATTCAGACCAACAAGTTTTCTTTTCACCATACTGAAAGGCATGACCATACAAATTCAAGGTATTTTAGTTTTAAAAAGATAATTACTACAGGTCTGTAGGTATTAGCATGCTGGTTATTTATTAAGATAAGTTGATGTTATAAATCTACCTTGTTTTCAGATTCTCAAAGTTCTAGAAATAGTCACACTGTTCTTCCCAAACACTAATGGTAGTTAATCATTACAATAAATCTTATTTTTCAGTCTGGATAGAGTACTTCAAACTTTATTATTCAACAACTAGTTAGTGGATTAATATTAATATGTGGAGTAATAATATGTATTCCACTAGTACTTATAAAAGCTTTTTGAGCTGAAATAATTTTATTGAGAGCATGAAAGATTGGTTTATTGATCTCATATTTATTGCTGGTTGTAAATTACTTGTTAGTACTTTTAGAAATTATTTCTAGAATATTTCCAGTGTAGAAAACACAAAATGGCTCATAAGAATATGGTGTTACTGTAACAAAAAGAGAGCATTTTGGAAGTAACATGTCTCATAATTTTTACTCTATCACCTTTTCATTAATCAAGCTATGCTTCAGTGAGCTACTGTTTTAATTAGGTTTAAGAGTTATTCATGCATTCATTTCAGGAACGTAGCCCTTAAGCCATTCAGCATCGCAGGCACAGGAAGAGAGCCAGGTTTCTAGAGCCCCAGGAAAGGCCAAGGGCCATTCTCCTGTCCAAGGGAGGATGCTCCATGGCCGAAGCTACCCTTTGCTCCCTGCCAGCTGACTCTCCCGGCTGATGGGCTTTGCAGGAGGCCCTCCTGCTCAGCCCGCTTTCATGGGACTAGATCCCCTCCCTTATCCCTTCTGGGAACATACTCGGTGCTCAGCCCTCCTCTTTTCCCCCCGCAGGCACCCAGGGAGGATCGCTGGGCCGAGAGGGCATGGGCCAAATCTGAACGGCCCCCCGGCCCCCCACCAATCTCTAGCCCGGCGCCTGTTTCAGCCCTCGGCCATCTCCTGGCTCCCCTGGCTGCGAAGGCTTCGCGGGCGGCGAAAGGGACCACGACCAGGAAACCCTTTATCCGCTGCCCTCCGCCGGCCCCCGCCCTCTCCTTCAGCCGCCGGAGGGCCTTTGCCAGCCGCGCTCCCCCGCCCCTCAGGCCGGGCCCTGAAAGGCAGCTGTGCCGAGGGGGAAGCCCGAGAGAGGCCGCCCAGCCCCTCCAGGCACGCGGGCCACGGCCTGACTCTCCAGGGGCTCCTCGGGGCGGCAGCGGCCACCGACCCTCTTCCCTCCGGCTCTGCGCCGATTCTTCGGGTCGTTCACGGCTGCCGAAGACCAGCGCGGCCGGTGCTCTCGATCCGAAGGGCGGCCCCGCTGCCACCCACGGCCTCCTCCGGGAGTTGCAGCCCGATTTGCCGAGCGAGCCCCGAAGAGGATCCGCCGCCTGCCCCGCCTCCTCCCGGGCAGCTCAGCGGCCGCACCGACCCCCCGCCCGGGCCGCTCCTGGCCTCCCCCCGCCTTTGCCCCCCCCCGGCGTTCCCGCGGCCGCCTCCCACCTCAGCCCCGCGGGAGAAGCCGGGGGAGCCACCGGGGCGCCGCCGACTGACGGGCCTGCCTGACGAGGGTCGCGGCGCTCCGACCGCAAATCCCGTAAACAGCCCCGCCCCCCCGCCAGCCGAAGGGCCGCTGAGCTTCCGGCGTGGGGCTCAGGCGACGGCGGAAGAAGGCTCTGGCCGCGGGGCACTGTGGGGGCTGTAGTCCCGGGTAGGCGGGCCATGTGCGCGGGGCGCAGCTTCGCAGCCCGGCGTCGGCTGAGCAGAGCCCGAGGTGAGGCGGGGGAGGGGTTGCCCGGGGTCCCCCTCTGCTCCTCGCTGGAAAGGGGGGCCACGGGGGCTGCGGCGGAGCGGGGGCCTTATGCCGGGCACTCCCTCCGCCCCCCCCAGCCGACCTCCGCCTAAGGGAAGGGGGCGACCGGTGGCTGGAGGGCATCGCCGCTCTCGGGCTCCCCGCAGCCGCTTCCCCTTTCCTTGTTTGGGGCGCGGAGCGGCTGCGGGAGGCTCCGGCGCTCTGCCGCTTGGAAAAAAGCCGGCTGCCCTTGGGGGGGGGGGAGGCTGGGCGCCCTCTGGGGAGGGACCTCCGGAGCCCCACAGGACGGAGCTGACGCCCCTCCGCCGCCGCCAACCAGTCTTCCCAGTGGCAAAAGCCGCACCGGTGCCATCTCCGGAGGGTCCTCGGTTGGAAGGAGGCTCTTTCCTCTGCTTGGCTTGGTTGTCCCAAAGGGCCTTTTTTTTTCCTCAAGAGGCAACCGGACTTTCTTGTTTGTCTTTAAAGACGTTTCACTTCTCATCCATGAAGCTTCTTAGGCTCTTCAGAGAGCTTCTGAGGAAGCTTCTTGGATGAGAAGCGAAACATCTTCAGAGAACAACAAGGAAGTCCAGTTGCCTCTTGGGGAAAAAAAAGCCCCTTTGGGACAACCAGGGCCTGGGTGACGGAGAATCTCCATAGACGTTAAGCACCGGGAGTGGGCCTTCCTATGCCTGTCAAGGGAAGGGGGACAGCTGGGGGGAGCAGACATTGAGGATTAGGGGTGCTTGCCACCTTGAGTTATTTTACAAAAATAATAGGGAGAGGATACAAATAAATAAAACTCCAGTCATTGACAAATACTGTCAGAATTTTGAGAAGAGATAATAGCAATGGAATTTAATCTAGATAAATATGCTACACTAGCAGTAGTTTGGGGTGAAATCATATCCATTAATAGAATTAAAATGTTGAATAGCTAAACGATCAGGAGCCGTTAGGATGAAGTTTACAAGTACTTAGGCATTTTCTAGTTGGATTACATCAAGCATAGATTGGGCACAAATGTGATAAGGAATGCATTCAAGGAATGAGAAAAGTGCTAAAAACAAACATGAATGGTGGAAACACAACAAAATCATCAATGGTGGAAACAATAGCAAAGCACATACGCTATATTGCCAAAAGTATTTGCTCACCCACCCACATAATCAGACTCAGTTGTAAGCGAATACTTTTGGCAGTATAATGTATCTGTGATATAATATACAGTTGCACTCATTAACTAGACCAGGGGTCCCCAAACCACAGTTTGTGGCCTAACGCTGGGCCATGCAAACAAGCAAAGAAGCCCCATCCATGGGATGCAGGCAACATGTGAAACCATGCCCCCTCCTCTCCATGGAACCGGTCCCTGGGGCCAAAAGGTGGGCCGCTGAACTGGCAATTTGGACCAAAAAAGAATGCACAAGGCATCACCTTTCCTTGGTGATATTGATACATTAGGCCTGCCTTGCAAGAAATGGATGCAGAGATTTACTTTGTCAAGCAAAATGTTTGTGGGAAAGAGCCAAGGACAAGCTTTGATGCAAGTCTTTTTCCTCATGAGCTTCTCAGAGCCTTCACGAGTGAGGGAGGAAGAAGGAGAGGATCACAGCCGCAGTAGCTGGCCTCCCAGTTGCTACCCTGGTGTTCACCTTTGACTCTTCCTGATTCAATATCTTCTCTTTCCTTTGGCCAAGTTTGAAAATTTCATCCTATCTTGTAGCTCTTGGATGAAATGAACCAAGAGCTTTTCTGAGTCTCCCATTGCTTATTTGAGTGTGTCTGTGTGTTCCATTATGTGTCACAGCACCAACAGAAATCTGCATAAGAAATCTCCGGAGGGGGAGGAAAGTCGGCATTGCCTACGAACCCTCAGAGGGAAACGGGGCAGCAGAGACCCCTGAGCCCAAGAAGCAGAAATGGGAACCAGTCAACTGGGAGCAGCAGCTGGCCAACATCCGGGAGATGCGGAGGGAGAGGAATGCCCCAGTCGACCAGATGGGAGCTGGGGCATGCTTTGATATGGAGGCTACTCCGGAGGTGAGCAGGGCAGCCAGGAAGCGGAGGAGGGCCTAGGCCTAGGGGAACCCCAAGTCAACCAGAAACACAGCGTCCCCCCTGCCTGTCTCCCTTCTGCTTGGCAGGTGAAGCGCTACCAGATTCTGCTGTCACTGATGCTTTCCAGCCAAACAAAGGACCAGGTGACCTCCGCGGCCATGATGCGCCTGCGGGAGCACGGCCTGACAGTGGACCGGATTCTGGAGACTGATGAGGAGGTGCTGGGCCGGCTCATTTACCCCGTCGGCTTTTGGAGGGTGAGTGATTTGCTACGTGCTGAATGGAAGAGCCAGGGAAGCATGGTTAATTTGTATGTTAATCTATTCTCTGATTTCCATGGAGAACCTCTGCCACCCACTCACCCCATCCCAACCCTGTGAGGTCGGCTGATGGGGCTCAAAGCTTTACAAGCTTTGGAGCTTCACAATCCGTCTTAACAGCTTTGCCAAAAGAGGCGCTGGCCAATTGTGTGTGAGTGTGGCTGTTACATTCATTACCAAACTACTTGGCATCCTCAGTGCACTACAACTTGTTCCATCTTCTGCCTGCACAGAGCAGCCCAAGTAACCTCCTGCTGATTAGGAGATGCTGCTCTGCACATCCCAGGATGGCAAGGAGACCTACTGGCAGAGGGTAAGGGTCTGCCTCTCTGTCCCCTTCGGTGTCCCCTTTATTTCCTGCCAAGCTTCACAATGCAGGCTTTTGTGTTTATAACTTTGCTTCACAAAGGAAAATTTAAGGGCAAAAAAAAATTCTACCAAAACATATTCTAATAAAAATATCTAAAATAAAAAAGTATGTATAAGAGCCATGGTGACACAATGGTTAGAATGCAATATTGCAGGCTAACTCATTGCTCACTCCGGCAGTTCAATTCTCAAAGTTGACTCAGCCTTTCCTCCTTTCGAGGTCGGTCAGTAAAATGAGGACCCAGATTGTTGGGGCAACAGGCTGACTCTGTAAAACTGTGATTCCCTCTTTCACCTAGTTTCTTCTTCGCTCTCACATTGACAACAATCGGAAGGGGGGATGGATGGTATGTCCGGGAGGGAATGGAATGCCAACCTGCAAATTGTGAGGCCCTGCTGCTAACCCCAAGGTCACACAGCGCTGGTGTTTAAAAGATCAGACTGTTCCTATAACAAAAGAAACGGATTTAATTGGGCAACGCAATGAACTGAGTGGGATGGCCAAGGGGGAAAAGCAAGTCCGACTATGTAGACTTCCACGTGGGAAACCCAGAGCTGGTTTTGCTTCTTCTGTGCCAATGTAGTGCATTCAATAAAGTTTTCCTTTTGTCCAAGGAATTCTCTAGCTGGACAGCTGACACTTAGAGAGGAATGTGAAGCACTTTTGCGTAATATCTAAGTCTAAGTGCTATTGCTGAGTGCTATGGCACATTCTGAACCTGTGAAATACATTGCCCTAATGTGGTGATGGTGACCACCACCCTGGATGGCTCTAAGCTAAGGCAGGTTAGATAAAGAATGGAAAAGGATAATCTTTGGAGGGCTGCTGGGCTTGGACGGCTTTTCAAAGGGTTTAGAGAAGTCTATGGAGGATTATGGTCTTGAGGCTTCCATGTTACTTCTAGACAGCTGTCTCCAAATACTATTTGAAGGGGAACAGTGGTGGGACAGAGAAAAAGAAGGTCTTTTTTTTGAATTGCAAGAACTAAGTTCCCTTGGGGCCAGCTGGTTAGGACACAGTAGGAAAGGGATTAGCCTTGGTCTGATCTGGCAGGGCTGTTCCTCCTCCTGAGTTAGCTCATTGACCGACCTTTTCATGGGCTGCAGAACAAGGTGCGATATATCCAGCAAACCACAGCAATCCTGAAGCGGGACTATGCTGGCGACATCCCACAAACTGTTGCAGAATTAGTGAAGTTGCCTGGGGTCGGTCCGAAGATGGCCCACCTGGTGATGGACATTGCCTGGAATAATGTCTCGGGGATCGGTATGTCTCTTGTCATAGTGTCTCTGTCTTTTGGGGGAACAAGCATTCAGCTAATTCTCGCACATTTAGATTTCACGTATCCACTTCATATTCACTAATGTTCCCGTCTTCCAATCCTTCATCTTCCAATTTCTGTTCAGCTGGCATATTTACATCTGGATTGCCCAAACTTCAAAGCTCAGATTTAGTTATTTATTCATTCGTTCATTCATTTACAAGCCCTCACTTTATGACCAGTCGCTTAGCAACCATTCAAAGTTACACAGCCCCTTGGTTGCTTATGATCCTCTCCTGAAGTTATGACAGCCACTGCTGCCCCCACTGCCTCCCCCCTCGCCAGTAGTCACAGGATGTCTCGGCCGTTGCTCTGCATTTATGGGCATTTGCAGCTTTAAATCCACAGCATTCACTTAATGACTGCTACAACAAAGTCATAAAATCGAATGGGTGATGTGATTTATGACCCTCACAACTTACAAGATGATGAGTGGTCTCCATTGTGGTTCTAAGTTGAAGACCACCTGTGTGTTTCAGTCAATTTACATGATCTTGTTCTTGAAACAGTTCCCTGGGCAGCCCCTGCTGAATTAAAACTCGGTCACAGTAATGGCATGCATGTAATGGGAGCCAAGGACCAGAACTGTCCCTACCAATCACATCCATCTCAGGAACTTCACACATCTCTTCCTAGGGAAACAGGCGTGTTTTTGAAAATTTTCTGAAATGCCAGGAAGATCAGAGCCAGAGTGTGGCCTCAGCTGGGACACTATGCCTCCTCTTCACAGCCTCTTTTCCTTCCTACCTTCTGGGAGGGGCTTCCTGGTATCCGAAGCAGAACATCCAGATTCAGTCAGAATTTGTTCCCTGTAGCATCAACTTTGTGAACTCTTAAGTTTCCTCTTTCCACTACGTATTCAAAATGGACAGTGAAATCTATCTATCTTTGTGGGGGTTGGCATGAAAGCTGCCTGCCGGCCACTTTTTTAGCCACCCCAAATTTCAGAGGGGAATAAATAAAGTGGGATGGATCTTAAAGGATGGTCACAAGCCATGGGGGGAGGGGGAGGCCGGAGGGGGGACATCTTGACTGGCATCCAGCTGCAAAAGCTTGTCCTACGGGATTGGGCGGCATATAAATTTATTAAAAGTTAAAGTTTGCGGCTCAGTAGCTCTGCTTGGAGTCTCTCTGCCACATGATGGAATTCTCCAGCAGGGGGCACTGTGGTGCCTTCTTGGCTCTTTATTCTGCCCTGCTTTCCTGAATGCTGATGAGCGATGGGGGGGGGGGGGGGGGGGGGGGCTTTCATTTGAGGGAAATACAACTTGTTGATTCCTGATGAAGGGCTCCTCGGCTGTGAGGGTAGTTGAGAAGGAGTCGTAGGGCAAAGCAGCCATTAAACAGATCAGCAGGGATGTTGGAAATGGTCTCCAGTTCGATTTCCTATTGACGATGAATATGCCATGGACAGTCCTGCTACTCCTGGGAGCCCCTTTTGGAGCCTTTCCTATCCAGGCCACTGATGTTCTCCTCCTTCCAGGGTCTCCAGTCGTGGTGGGAACTGGTACAGAAAGCTTGGGATCAGAAAGTCTCCAGGTTTCTGCTTGTTTCTCCATCCGCTTCTTACTGCAGGAGCTTCATGTAGCCCTTGGCTGAATAAAAGGCCTTCAGCCTGTGACTGCAGGTTTTGTTCATGAGAGGGAGGAGAATCAGGGGGCTGAGTTGGGAAAGCGCCAGAAGGCCCTCTGCTTCAAGGCAGCGGCTAAGGTGTCTTCCCACACTGAGAGCCACAGACCAAATTGCAGGCTTGGATCATCTGACCCAGCCCTCTAGAAAACCAAACCCTTGTCAAATGTCTAGTCAGCCTTTGTTGAACTCTCCAGTAAATCCATGGCCTCCAGTCTAAGATCTCCTTCCGTGGGCCAAACCGGGATTTCTCTACACTTAAACAAAGGCCATTTTGCAGTCTCAGCTGATTGATTGGGCTGCAACTGTCCTCTCAAGGGGATCAAATGCCCCCATTCAAGGAGCTGGGGATGCATCTGATTGCAGCAGGGAGGGGCTTTGCCCAGTCCTTGTTTAGGAAAGCCGCCTCTTTCTGATTTTGAACTACAGGTGTGGACACGCACGTGCACCGGATTTGCAACAGGTTAAAGTGGGCAAAAAAGCAAACAAAACTTCCAGAGGAAACGAGGCAAACCCTGGAAGAATGGCTGCCCAGGTGAGCCTGTCCAAACTGGCCCTAAACATTTCACTTCTCTCCCTCTCCCTTAGTCTCCGTGTGGGATCCCAGCTCCCATGATTCTTGTGCAAGGACATTGAATTAAGAAGCTCCCACAATACCATTCCTTATTAAGCGGATGAGATGGAAGCAAAGGCCCTTCAAAACTGGTCTCCAGTTGTCCTTTCCTTCCAGTATTGCCTCTTTAAGGAGGTGGGGGTGGGTTCTGTTTTTCAAGGTTCATCACATTTTCCTCTCTGGAACTGGGATCAACCGTGGAAAAGCTCAGGTTTCTCTGCAAAAAAATGGGGGTGGGCCTTTGAGCCAGTTTTGACTCCTGGTGAGTCCCCTGCAGTTTTCTTACCAACATTTTCAGGAGCAACAGCCTACGTGCTTTGAGATGGGACTAGAATTTGTGGACTCTCAGTTTCAAGTCTGGTGCCGTAACCACAGTGCCAAAGCAGCCTTCAATCCCATTCTCTGGAATACAGGCTGAAAAATGCTCGCCTTAAGGTCTGCATTCCATATGTATCCACCAGCAGCACTGCTCCTTCCAATGGGACCGGCACACTTTCTCACTTGGAAGAGGGCAAGGCCCCTTTTCCACCATACTCCATCTTCCTATTTATTTCAGTGTTGTAGCAAAGGGTTGACCTTGGACCTACAACAACAGAATTTGAGTGTTCTCCTGTAGGAAATTTCTCACAGTTGTAGGACTTTGGTCAAAGCATTCTCTCTCCCATCACAATAGAGGGGGCAGACCTCAGTGCACCAGCCAACACCTCACTTGTTAATGAGAGTTAAAGAGCAGCTCCAGACTTGCCAGGTGTCCCCGAGGAATCCACCTAACCCTGGGGATTATGCATGGAAGGTGACTCTAAAATGCCTCCTCCAACCCAGGACAAAGAAAAGAGTTCTGGTGGGGCAGGGAGCAGCCTCTGTGCTTGCACTTCGATAAATGGGGTGTGGTGGCAATTTCACTTCCCTTTAGTGTCGGAGACCAACTCACCCTTATTGCTTGACCCTCCAGAATTGTAGTTATTTCCTGGTGTGATGTCCCCTTGGTCTCACCGGCTGGGAATTGTCTTCCTGCGACATCTGAGGGTGGGCTGCTTCAGGCATCGCTGGATATCAAAGTTGTGCTACTTTTTCTACCACACTAAAATGTTTTTTTCCTCTCCCTGCTCTGCTGCTTGCAGGACTCTCTGGAGTGAGTTAAACTGGCTCTTGGTTGGCTTTGGGCAACAGATTTGCTTGCCTGTCCGTCCACGCTGCAGTGAGTGCCTCAATAGGAACATCTGTCCGGGATCCACAAAGTGCTGAGGAACAGCCCACCCCCACTCCCAGCCTCTTTGTCTCAGGGCTTCCGTTGCTTGGGAGAAGTTGTTTTCCACTAGGCCGAAACTTGGAGCCCGTCCCAGGAACTGCAGTGCCTCCTTGGACAAGGAGGAGGTCTCCCTGTCCGCCATCTCTGGGCACGGAAGTGCCAGGCTGGGATTTCATGCTGCCTCTTGAGCCTCCATGAAAAGGCTGCTATCTGGGAAGGATGGACTTTACCCAGCAAGCACTTTTAATAAATAAAGTATGTGGGAAGAGACTTAGGCTGGCTTAATTCAAGAGGGGTGTCTGGAAGGAGAAGGAATGACTGCATAGATCTGGGGCAGGCAAGGGCCTCCAAGGTGTTTATTTATATTTATATTATATTAAATATAACTGGTTTCCTCACTTAAGGAACAAAATCTCTGCAAATGAAATGAAAATAAACTATTCGGTCAAATGCTTGAAGCAGCAACAATGACACCACAATCCTAGAGAGGGACAGATTGGGACAGCAGGGAGGCCCAGGCAGCGGGTGCCCAGCCCGGCATTCTTCAGGGAAAGACTGGTGCCCAAAGCAAGCGAAATTGGTGCAACCCAGATGCTGGAGGAGCCAAAGCCAGCCCATTGCAGAACTGCAGTCCCCTGGGCTTCTAACATCCCCCCCCCCCCGCTGTTGATGAATCTAAGAGTTGGAAGGGACTCAAGAGGTCATCAAGATCAACTCTGCACACTGCAGGTTTCACTACACCAGTGGTTCCCAAACTTGGCAACTTTAAGACTTGTGGACTTCAACTTGTGGAGTTGAAGTCCACAAGTCTTAAAGTTGCCAAGTTTGGGAACCACTGCACTACACCATCCCCAGTACATGATGAATAGAATCTTAAGGGTTGGAAGAGGTCATTGTAATTGTCAGAGATGCTTGCTCAGCTCTTGACGAGTTTGTGCAGATGCAACTCTACAGACAAGGGGGCCTCATGGTTGAACTAGGACCAGAGGGGCATCTGTTCAAAGCCATGGAGAATTGGTAGGTTTCTTAAGCAAGGAAACCAGCCATACCAGCAACTCAACATCGGGAGAGGGGGGGGGGGGTTGAAGGAAGAAGTGCTCCAACTCCTGACGCAGCGGGGATGTAGGTCTTACCATAAGGAACCCAGCAGAATCCCAATGAGGTGGCTGCAGGTTGCAGAGTGGCCTTTCCAGCCTTGCCTCGGCTTTGAGGGTTTTGGTTTCTCTGTCGCATACCAGACTGGTTCCCATTCCCCCCCCCCCCCCAACCTCCTACCTGCCTGGAATCTGCATTTCCAATACTCTTCACTTGATGCCAGCAACTCAGTCATCTGGTCCGACATGCAGTCTCAGGAGCCCGCACCAAGGTGGCTCAGACTTGGAAGCAGTTACGACCGTTCTGAGGAGAAGCCGATTGAAGTCCGATTCTGGGCAGAAAAGGCCATGTCTCAATGGGAGGGGGGGAGGTTTTGATGCATTCACACCCTACTACACCAACAGCTGAATGGACATAATAGGATCCTAAATGAATTGTCAGTCTACATTTTCACATTTTAAAACAAGCGAAAGCATCCGTTGTTACTTCCCAGCCAAATTTGGTCTTTGGCAAGGTTGAGTGATGAGACTTCCTGCACAAAAAGATAAATCTAGACCCAAACTTAAGTTTTGTCTGCTATCATTTACATTAGTTCATCAGCAATGAATTCAGGTGATGCTGCTTATTTTTCTAAACATTTTCTTGTGCTACATTGAAAACTAAAACTTGGCAACATTAAATGTTGCTAATTAGTTAATGCTAACATTAACTAAGGGTGGCTGCAATGCAGTGGGGTCATGACGCAATTAAGGCCCCTCCCTCTTTACCTGTGCCACATGTGCAACCCAAAGGGGGCTTCAATCCCACAGTGGTGGTGGTCTTCGTGCCACACAGAAGCCTGACCGACATCAGCAGTCAGGAAAGGCTCAGAGGAGGGAGGATGTTTGTGATTCTGCGAATCTTGAGAATTGTCGGAAAATGTGTTTGGAAGACAAGTTCAGGAAGGGGAAAAAATGGAAAGAAAACAATAACCAACACAACAAAACTTGCTATCCATGAGAAACCAGTTTTATTATTGACATTGTAGTATACTTTTTTAAACACAATGCAATTAAAATAGTTCTTTTTGTCAGTTTTTGTGTGAGAGAGAATTTCTAAAATGTGCAGAAATCAAGTTACAGAGCTGGCAGGATGGCAGAAGAAGAAAGTGTGTGCTTTTATCCACCAGCATCATTCCAGGAAGCAGAGGGAAGTCCCTTTGGGAATAACGCAGGTGACAAGTCAGGATGATCGCTGGACTCATTTGGGGCCTTCATCCCACCCACCATCCAGGGAGCCTTCAGTCTGGAAAACTTACAAAGCCCCTGCTTAGGTTGGCACCTGCATACTTGTCCTCTGGAGAAAAAGGCCACAGGGCTGAGGCCCACCTTTTGCCCTAGCGTCTCTTAATGTGAAAACGATTCCATAAAACGATGAAACAAAAAAGGTGACTCAAAAAACACTTTCAATGCAAGCCATGAGAACTACCTGAAGAATTTCCACCTTAATACCAGTCTCCCCACACATTTTAAAAATGCACACCTCCCCCAGAAGATGCCTCTTCCACATTGGCATCCATCAACCTCCCCAGCTGCCTGTTGTGGTGGCTCCAGTTCCTCCAATGAAGAGCATCCCCTCCCCCATTAGATCAGCTGGACATCTCCAAGCCTGGGGCTCTGAGCCCACCAATTCTCACTAGGGGGAACAGAGCAGAAACGGACAAAGGGGGACTCCTGCAACCGTGAAATGGAAGGGGGTGGGATTTCCATTTCTGTAGCCTTGCATTATGCACATTATCATGCCACATTTTTATGCTTCCATCACTTACAGCAGGACAGCTATTAAAATAATTTGGAATCTGGTGGTGAATCATTGCAGAGAAACTGAAAACTGCAGTGACATTTTTCTCCCTGCTCATAAGTTGGTTCCGGGGTACCAGTTGGGGGGCAGGAAAGAGAAACCGAAGATGGCAGGAACAGCTGTGCACTGGAAGCCCTACCTCCTTTGCACATGGGTCTCCCATGGAAAGGGGAGGGTCTTTGGCTGCCATCTTGACTTTATGGAAAACACCCAGTGGGCACTGCTACATTTAAAAAAAACACCTTTAAATATTTTTTTAAAATCCATTATAACAGTGATGTTTGAGGAGCCAGCTTCTATGATCTGTATCAATCCTTGACATCCTGCATGGACAATGGTGAAGTCAAAGATTAATGGAATCATTAATCTGAAATTTAGTTTTCTAAATCCAAAATTCTTGTTTAATATCTCCCAAATTGGGACCTTCCACAGACAAGGAGAAATGCACTGCTACTTGTTCTCAACCAAGATGGCATTAAGGACACTCTAGCCCCAGCACCTCTGGAGAGCCTCAAGGTGTACAAGCTGGAGAGACAGACTTTCAAAAATGACAAGCATTGCTTGCTGCCTAACTGACAGGCACCTACCAGCCCCAAAGGGTGGACAGGACCACCGCCAAGCCTTCCCTCTCTCTGCCGGGATATCCCCTTTCTACAAAGACAAGACAAAGTTCCAGAGAACCAGACACTCGTGGCTTTTACTTGTCCTTTCAAACACAATCACATCTTCTACAATCAGATTCACTGGAAAGAAAACAAGAAAGGGTGAGGTGTGAATTGCAGCTTATGGTCTCCCCACTCCTAAAAAGTTCTCACTGGAAGCTTCTTGGTTTCTTTAACAGGAGAGCCAAATCTGGAATTTGATTCTCTTGCAATACGAAGCTTTTCTCAGCCCAGAGATTCTGTGGTTGAAGCCCGACTCCTAGGGGTATAATTAAGCAGTGTAGCCTCGCATAAGGGATGCAAATGCATCATAAACTCATATATGATGTATCGGAAGCCTCTTCAGAGCATCAGAGCCCTCTGTCAGGTCCCTGATTTTTAAGTCAACCCAGGCAGCGCCTCAACAAAAGGCCCCTCTGGGAAGAAATGCAAGAAATTGCTCAACCACTACCTTTTTTTCAAAGGAAGAACAAACTAAGCAAACGTCAAGTCCACCATTTGCAAAATATTCATAAAGCACCAAACATCACTCCCCCCACCCCTTTCAGGAGTGCCAGGGAACAGTTTGTATACAAAAAAAGGCAGGGCTTTCATTGCACCATTGCAGCCAGCTCCTGGACTTAGGGGACCCCAGGAGAGCAATATTTAATCTCTGCCATCATTAAAAGGCAACTCCTTGTTTACATGCCCTCTGCTTTTTTTAAAAAAGAAAGAAAAACTGCACCCCATTCAGCTAGCTTCTTAAAACTTTTTTTTAAAAGTAAAAAGGGTTGTTCCTTTTCCTGGGGAAGGCACAGAGAGCCATCCCTGCCCTTTTCCTTCCCTCATTAGCAAAGCTGCGAGGAGGCCCCTCCCTTCCTGCTCAGGGAATTGTTCTCTGGTGGGCATTTTTTCCATGCCAAAGGCCACATTCAGCCTTTAAGAGTAGGGTAGGGTTCATTCATTAACTCAATTAGGTTTATATTTAGGTTTAATAAATACTCCATATGGTTAAGATTATTTCTGACTTGCCACATATCCCTCCTGCCAAATTAATCATTCCAATTTGGCAGCTCCTCTGAAGGTGTCTGGGGCATCACCAAAATGTTGGGAGCTGTACTTCTGTCCAGAGTGACCTCCACTTTGGGTCCACAACTCTTAGTGGCATTTTTATGGACAAGAGAGTTCTGCAGAAATTACTTGGAAATATTTGCCTTGATTTTATGCTGTTCAGAAACACTAGAAACCACATTCCCACCAAAAGAGAATCAATTTGGTGGGAAATTCCAAATTTGCCTGCTCTGTCCTGACCTGGATCCAAGGCACGTTGGCATTTGCAGCCGAAATTTCCCATAGCAGGTGCCTCGCCAGGAATAAAGATGGAGTAAAAATACTCCTTGCCTAGAGGGCTTAGATGTAAGTTTCCCTGTGGGTTCCATTCCCTGGCTCCCTTGGAACGGTCAGTGGCCAATGACGACCACCAGAAACAACACCCTCCCCCCGTTGCCCACTGTCTCTGGATGTTGAGTCTTCACCGAGTTAGGCACAAAGGGACCACTCTGGAGCAGGTGGGCCACAATGATCTTTGGGGATCAGCAGACCCACTGGTATCTAGCATTCATGCTTTCCCCAAGAGCAACCGTGGAAGAGCTAGAGAGCATCACACCAAATTCACAATCATGTTTACCATCTGTGTGAAGATTAGTCCCACCTGAGACCAAACCCTGTCAACATCTTGGGGACGGAAACTTTAGGTTGCAAGCTGAAAGGGATGCTGGCTGCCTCACAGCTCCTGAAAGATCAGCAAAACTAAAGAATTGTAAGTTTTTTTTAATGTCCTAAAAATAATAGAAATTCACCTTGAGATGTTTCTTGCTTACCAGCAAGAACTTCATTCTTGAGGGAACATTTTTTTATATGTTTCTCAAGTCTCACTAAAAAGTATATTCCATTTCTTTACTTATTAAATTTATAGGCCATCCATTTCATTATTGAGCGACTCTGTTATAACAAAAATGAATTCAGATTACAATCCCTTAATAAATGACAGGTTGGCTTGACTGCTTATGATCTCTGTCCTTGTAATCGTGTGTTGTATTTTGTAACAAAAATCTTGTACTTGTTAAGTTATGAGCCTGAAAAAGGACTGGAAAGAAAAGGATCCGCTATGCTAAAAACAAGGGATTTTCAAATGCTAACTGAATAAAGTACTGAAAAAAATAAAGTACTGAAGATAAAGTATGACAAAAATAAAACTCCAAACTCAGAACAGAAAGAGTCACAATGAAGGAATAGTTGGCTAATCCATTTCTGAAGCTGTTAACATTGCAGTCCATAGTGGTATAAACTCTAGCTTTCAGCTAAATGGAAAGGAAAGGTGCTGATTTGGAATGTAAAAATATTTTAAAATATCTAAACACAAATAGGGAAGAAAAGCAACTCAAACAATTCCTTATATAAAAATGGTCCTATAAATAATATATTCTAATATTGCCAGTTAAATGATCCATAATTAATACAAACTGCAAGAGGTTTTCTCTCCCTCCCGCCTTCTTCGCATTCCCTTTCACTCGCCGCGATCAGGAAGAATCCGTCTTGCCTGTGGAAAAATGTGGAGCATGAATTGCGTTGTCCGTCGGGGTGGGACACAAGTTGTGCACCTTGCAAATGTCTTCGTGCAGGAAGAGCCGGGAGGGAAAGAGAGCCCCTTGGTGGGCTCAGAAGTTGCTGAAAATCTCCCGCTTCTTGTTCCAGTCCATCTGAGGCGCCCTCTTGTTCACCCGCTTGGCACGCACTCTCTCTTTGGCTTCCGCTGCGGTGGGACTCAAGTTCAACCCGCTTTCTTCAAAGGGATCTTTCTTTTTCGCCTCTCTCACCTAGGAGGAAACCAAGGAGCTTCAACAGGGGCAGTTCTTTGGCTAAACTACTGCTCTGCTTCAAACTATTTTGACAGGTTCTGAAAACCCAGCACAAACTTTGCATGACTTACAAGATCAAGACAAGGCTGCAAAAATATGTTGGGATAGAAATTAGTCACCTAAACATCTTACTTCTGGAGTGGGAAAAAGTCCTCTGAGTTTGGGCCATTGCAGATGCAATAGCAATAGCAGTTAGACTTATATACCGCTTCATAGGGCTTTCAGCCCTCTCTAAGCGGTTTACGGAGCAGCATATTGCCCCCAACAATCCAGGTCCTCATTTTACCCACCTCGGAAGAATGGAAGGCTGAGTCAACCCTGAGCCGGTGAGATTTGAACAGCCGAACTGCAGAACTGCAGTCAGCTGAAGTAAGCTGCAGTGCTGCATTTAACCACTGCGCCACCTCGGCTCTGATGCGCTAACATGGTTATAATTTCTGATGTTCCTTGCCAGCTTGCCAAAAGCAAACTCAATGGGGAAACCAGCAGGAAGTCAGAAGTTGCAGGCCCTCATTTTATGCCAACAGCCAGAGTTGCCCTGGCTAAGTGGCATGGTCACGTGATGTCATACTCTGTGACCAAGTCACTTAGTGATGGAAGTTCTGGACCCCATTGCTAACACTAGGCGAGGATAACCAGTAAATACATCCTTTTAGTCATTTGCAGGTTGCTGTCAACAGAACTTGATGCTGGCTGGATTCACACAATATGCCTAACCCTGAAACTAAGAACACAATTGCTGTGTTCATACTGCGCAACCAACTGACCTCTAGGATGGCTTAAAGCGATGCTAAAGTTTACACCATATGCTGAGACAAGGGAGTGGTTTCCCACAACAGTTTGACCTAAATGCCATCCAAGTGTATTTCACCCTAAACTAACGGTCCGGCCATTTTAATAGGCTGTGGTCTATTGTAATCAGCAGCTCCAAAGGAAGCTGAGAGTTCCAGCACTTTTCATAGACGAACCACAGTCCGTGTGATGGCCTTCTCGGACGCTTCCCCAGACGCCTCTGTGAGTGCCAGCTCGGAAGAAGATGAGCTGGTCCCGGGCACATCAAAAGTTTCTAGGACAACTTGCCGTGGCCAGGTCTCCACACTAACTCACTGAGGAGTAAAGTTCAAACACAATTATGCGAAAGCAGTTTTGGCTCCGCAGGAGTACACGCCAGAATATTGATCCTAATAAATGAATGGATTGCTTTTGAACTTTGTCTTGAGGCTCATAAATTAATTAGGACATCTTCTGGGAACTTCACAGAGAGCCAAAACGTACTTTTAAAAATCTATCAAGATTTCCGGGTTTCCTTAATCCTTATTCCTCAATATTTGGGGTGCTTGGAGGGAAAATCAGGCAACAGGAGGTATGCAGCAATGCCAAGCAGCGATGCCTTTCCCAGCAGCAGAAGCAAGAAAGGATGAGTACTTGTGGAAATTAGCCCCTAAGGCAGCTGAAGTAGAATTCCTTCACCCTAGACCCCAGATACAGGGGAGGGTCTCAAGCAAACTGGCAAGGGTGGACTGGAGGTGGGACTGGACACAAGCCAGGCTTTCAAAGCCCCAGATGGAATCCCTGAAGAGTGAAATAGACCAACAGAGGGAGGATCTTGACCGGACCACCCTTGCTGATGAGGGGCCATCATGCGGGGAGGGACATCTGATCCTGTTGAGGGGAAGAGATGCAGACTGGAGTGCAGCCCCCCACCCATAGGAGAAGGAGCCCAAAACTAGAATCAGTGCCTCTCCCACACAGTAGGCTGGACAGGGCAGACAAACCCCTCCCTCCCTCCAAACTAGAGGTGAGGAAGACGGCCAGCCATATCAGGCGCAAGCATACAGAGGCGGACAGGAGGAGTAGGGCTGAATGACCCGCCCCAATTCAGGGGAAATTTTGACGGGGACTCAGACCAACTAGCTCTATTCCTCGATTCAGCTGATATCCACCTAGAACGCTATGGGCACCTCTACCCATCCCCCAGGGCCATGGTGAATACCATCACAGAGGGGCTAGAAGGAAAAGCAAGGGAATGGTTAGCAGCCCTCCACAAGAGGAGAGCCCCCCCAACTGCAAGACATAGATGACTTCCTGCAATTTGCTTGTCCAGGCAACCGTATACTGTGACATCCCAAATCAACTCTCTGAGTGGTTCCAAGTAGCAACAAAAGTCAGCAGCGGGCTGTACGTCAATGACATGAGAGAGCAACTGGACACAAAAGAGAGAGGTCAACCTGACCTGAAACCACCCAGGCGACGAGGAACCACAGCACCACAGCAGGCCCTGAGATCAGCCCCCCCTCGAAGTCCGCTGAAATGCTATCAATGTGGGGGGATGGGCCACATGGCAGCTGCATGCCCAACCCCAGCCCCAGACCCAAAACCAAAGCCAGACCCACCGCCCAGGGCACGACCAGAACAAGGCCCCAAAAGGACCACCAACACATCCGGCAAAGCCCTCCAGGCTGCAGAGGCCCCTTTCCCCTCAAGCAAAAGTGGTGGAACCCCAGGCA